TCACAGATAGATCGAAAGATACGTGACTTATTTATCGACTTGGACGATGCCCTCAATGCTGCTAATTTAAGAGTAACCGTGGAAAACAATAAACGCCTTAAGCAGATATTAGGAATCGCGGAGAGGGCGGATGAACACATGATGGACTTGGATAATAGAATGAATGCTATGCAAATTGATGTCACAGTTGTGAGAGACGCTGTGGCAGCAAAAGTTAAAGATTCCTTCTTAACTACTGCAGTTTTTAATGGCGTTCCGTTATCACGGGAACAAATAGACGACTTGAGGATTAGCCCAGAACTAATCAATCCCGCTTTTGATACTCAACCTAATGGTGATGGTCCTACAAAGGTTATATACCGTGGTGGTTTTTATGCAGCAAAAGTTAAAATTGCAACCACGGACGATGACATTAGCAGGTATTGGGTACAGGCCTTTATTAGCTCCAAATTGAATACGGATTTATTCATGAAAGTGTATGTATTGTCGTTGCATTACTGTTACCCGCTTCGTATCCATTTGCTGACGAATATTATTGTTCATCATAGCTATGGTATTCTACTGGAAGGAGGAATTTACTACATGATTACAGAGTGGCCGGGAAAGGGAACGCTCTACGAACACCTTAAGACAAACAGAAATATCCCATGGATACAAAAGATAAGATGGTCAATTCAATTAGCAAGTGCGCTCGCCGTTTGTCACAGTAAGCTCATTCTACACCATGACATTCGCAGGTAGAAAAGCGAGTATTACAATGTCGAATTAGGCTTTTTTTTTAGTGTTAGCTAAATCGTTCTTTTTTTCCCCCGAAATTAGTCATAACGTGATTGTGGATAGAAACGATAACGTCAAATTGGCAAATTATCATCGTGCTAGAGGCATAAAAGACATCACGACATCCGTTGCCGAAGAGACGGATGGTGTCAGATGGTTATGTCCTGAAAAAACGAAGGATGGTACGCTTCCGTACTCGATGTCAGCCGATGTATACAGGTATGTAAGTTTCATTGTCATTTTTCGGTGATAGTTACAATAGAATTTCAAGTTATCGACATTAGTGTAAGCAATTTATATTTACTTATATTTATTGTTTAAATATGTAGCTTTGGTATGCTTATGTGGGAAATAACTTCTCATGAAATTCCTTTCTCGGACAAAACCATTGGTGAAGTGTTTATGATGTTAAAAACTTCAGTTGGACTTAAAGATGCGGATGCTCCGCGCCCGCCAATAGTTCCGGGTACACCAGAAAAGTACGCAAGCGTAATGCAGAAATGTTGGAGACAGATTGCCGGGAGTCGTCCGACAATGCAACATGTCGTACGAAAGTTAGAAAAGGCGTTCGATGCACACGGGCACACTTCCGATGGCACGATGATGTCTAGTAGTAGCTTAACCGAATATGATCCATACGCTCCTCCGACACATCCAAACGTAACGATGCAGACAGCGCGCAGGTTACACAGTCAAAGACAATACAGGGAAGCCTTCGAACAATTCAAGATATTGGCTGATAAGGCTGAACCAGACCCTGAAGCAAACTATTATGTCGGCCGATATCTTATCGACTCTAGAATAGAATTCAATCGCGGAATTGAAGGAAGCGTTAAGGACCCCAATATAGGAATGAGCTATTTGGAAGTAGCAGGAGATTTGGGATGCACTGAGGCAATTCAGTACTATGCTCAAGAGAAGATGGCTGCCGCCGTAGAAATACGAAGGCAATTGCTGAATACGGGTGACGAGACAGACGCCAAAATAATTCTGGGTAAAATGAAGACCGAATGTTTAGATCTGTTTCGTGATGGTGCAGAAAAGGGTAACCTACGCTGTATGAAAGATCTCGCTGACTATGGAGCACAGTTGGGTGATAGACAGAGTTATATAGATGGTCGAAAGATGTTGGACGATGTAATTGTCAACGCGAGAAAGCCTGCGGAAATATCGAAAGCGCAAGAGTATTTGGTGAAGTTGGAACGGCATAATAATAGCACGTTCTTAAATTAATTGTGCTCGGTGTTTATACGGAATAATTAATATTGTGTCATTTTGGCGAGCGTTTTATAGCCCTGGTGAGAAAGGGATTGCGACTGCGTGTAGGTATTTATAGTATATGAAGAACAAGGACATGCGCACAAGGGTGCAATAAAGAATGTGGCAAAGGGCCGATTTGATGAATATAAGAGAGTGAGGAAATGAAGAGAAAACAGCGGGTAGATTAAGATGACAGATTTAATTTTAGTTGTGAGGGCCAAAAAGGTGTTCGATGAAAGGGAGAGGGAGATTTATTTGAAGTAGGTTATGTATTATGGTGCAATGGAAAGAGATGTACGTGTTAGGGCGAGATGAGCAACCAAATGTGCAAGAAGTATAAGATTAAGATGTCCAAATTGTCCAAAAAATGAGACAGATTTTTATGTAAGAGAACCAACATAATAATAACGCTCATTTAAAAATTTAATGATAGTAGTAGTCAAAGACTTTACAAATCTTCCTAAAGAAGATCCAAATACTGAAAGCCTTTTCTATTGTCATAATGGTGTGCTTTGTTTGATCTACTGTTGATCGAATCCGGCACGTAAAGGTTTCGTGCCCAATCGTAGCTGTGATGAGCAGTAGCGTCAAATGCAAGCTTTGCCTCTCGTCATAAATGCTCATTTACTAATATTTTTTTGCTTCTGCTAATTTCGTATTTTTGTGGTAATAATTTCTCTCTAACTTGGATTTAAATGGATGTTCTTTAAATTTTTTTAGTAAACCTCGCTTCTTCTTTTACGAGCGTTGTACTGTAAGCCGTTCTGAAATGTTGGCACGTGTCACATAAATCTGTTCTTGGACTCATAATTTGAAAATAAAGCGTTAATTGATGTCATAACTTGCGAAACGCATCATGTCTTGAACCATTTTAACGTGTTATCGTTCGAGACCTGCAATAAAAACGATACACTAATTTGTAACTCGTTTCGGCTAGCAAAATTGTAAGCGATTGAGTAATTCGGTTGACGTTTCTATTAAGACTTGATAATCCATGTATTTTTCGAGAAAAATTTTCACCGGTGTAGCAACAGTTGTACGAATGGTTATTTTAATTTCCATAACGGCACTCGTTTGACATTACCATAAATTTGCGGTATTTATACATTTGTCGCTAGGTGATTTCTAACGTTTTCGCGGCCACTTTCTAACATATTTAGATACGTTTTCTGACAAAGCGACGTATTGAATCTCAACAGTAAACAGTTCTTTATTAGTACGCGTTTTCTTTTTAAGACGTCAGCTGGCAGTTATTTTGCTGCCATTCATTGCTTTCAACGGGTTATTAAAAATATGTCTTGTTCGGATCTGGAAACACTTCACGTGCAGTAACGGTCATCGCTCCTCTTGGGACGGAACAAGTAAATGCTTTGAAAATTTCGTGTGTAATGCGCATAACAAACCATGTAAAATTTCATCCCGATCGGATGTCTCCAGATAATTTTCCAAACACTAACGTTTTTACCTAAAGATATCTCGCAATTTGACCATAAAATTTCAGAAATTTATATTGCGACACTTTTCTAACCAAATTTTGTGATTCTTGTTCTATTTTATTCTCTGCACCATTAAAATACATTACACAATTTTAGAAAAGATTACTGTATACAAAAGCAAATTATCGTTGATATTTATAAATAGTACGCGCGTTTGTTACCAAGAACAATACCGATTTTTTTTTTTCTAATTCAATCATGCATCTCAAGAAAAACGCAGAGATTGATTTAACAAACAAAACAAAAAAAAAAGATTACGCAAATCGATTAGAAACACGTGGAGATATCGATTTTTGAAGTTTATGTCGAAATAACGATGTGCGGCTTTTTATAATTTTAGATGCAAATATTGGATGTTTCTGGAGACATCCGATCGGCTGAAATTTACACAGCTAATCATATTTTGTTTATGCACTTTACGCACGAAATTTTCAAAGCATTTGCTTGTTTCTGTCCCAAGCTAGGAGCGGTAGGATACTTATGACCGCTACTGTAACTCGGCAAACTCAGAATCTTTTTTGAACAAGCACAATTGCAACCTGTCTCCAAAAAACGTATGTTTTTTTTTCATATCCAGTCGAATCATTGTATTCACTATTTATTATTATTATAATAATATGGATACAAGTTTATAAGAACAAGAAGTTACTTGATCTATATACTAATGTCGACGATGACGTGTTAATGTACTACTGACAACAGCATTTGAAATATCTTCGTCTACTTCAACTCTCATTTCGATGATTATCTGCTTTACTTATTTATATGAAAATAGTCGGTTGTGAAGGGAGCCTGAAGCTAACTCCCTGAAGAAATAGTGAACGTTCGTCATGAATGGAGGAGTTGTGTCAGCAAACTTTTATTGTTTTGGATTGTAATTGATGATGTAGTATCAATTATTTTTTTTGCTTAAGTAAAGGAAAAATGTAATGTTACCAAACAAAAAAGACATGCGTTTATTAATTTAGTCGTTTCAAAATGTATAACGACTGGACTGCCGTTGTAATATGCAGTGTATTTCTTTAATAATAAGCATTTCTCAAAATGTCATAATAAAAAGTTGTAATGTGTTTACATCGAATAAATTCATTATATAATAAGATGTCGACTTAATAAAACAAATTGACTTTACAAATACCAATACTTCACGATCTTATCAGTAATCAATTATTATGTGCTGGTAGTGTTTATGCAAAGTTCAAAGTCTTACTGACTCTTTTGCTTTACTTCTTTTCTCTTCCTAGCATTGTTCCGGCTTTGATAATGGCAACTAAAGCATCAGTCGACACTATACACTGTGCATTCGTAACACCATCTTTGTATTCTATTTGAGGAATTTTACACGTTAATTCTTATCTTTATTGACCAGTTGATCGACATATCTGACTCACGTGATAAATAGTCAGTTAAACTGTCGGCTACGCCGCCTAAATATGGCTTGCAATTCCTTCGACCGTCTTTCCCGAAATGTCAACGATCACTTCATCAAACAGCACAAACAGCTCATCAACAAGCGTCGCGCCACCAGAGAACTGGCAACAGGAATTGTTGGTGAAGCTACTGCTCAGAGATCAACGAGAGAAAGCATTCAGTGATTTCGTGGAAGCGTGTAAGAATTACAGCTGGGATTTAGAGTTGTAATGAACAGTATTTGCTATCAATACTGATGATGCGGAGTAGAAATGACTTGCTACCTGCAAAACGATCGGTGTAAAACGTGACATTGGTCTTATTTGATTTTTTGTACTGGTGACTAGATAATTCACTTGCGAAGAGACTCGCCCATTATGCTGAGAGAAACATCGAACTCGAGCAACAATATAATATAGTTAAGGAAGAGAATACTAAATTATTGGAGGAAACCAAGATACTCAGAGAACAAGGGTGAGTTTGGGATAATGTCAATCAAAATTGATTACCTTGTCCGACAATCTATAAGTTTCTCGGGAGTTTTTTTTTTCTCTTCGCATTTTTACATGAAATGCTGGCGCAAATGAATTGTTCATTGATTTATTCCTTATTTTTATTCTCCACGCAGGAGCCCACTAAACCAACAACGTACAGCTCAACTGGAAGAACAGATATCAAATCTTAAAGAAGAACGGGCAGAATTGTACAAAACCCAAGGAACGAACGCACAGAGGCTACTGGACATGAACGATTTACTAAGAAAGACTGAGGAGGAAGCCAAAAAGAATTTGGAAGAGTACGTAGGCGTGATCAAACGTCAAGATCCTTGTATCAAAGTTCAGTGTGGATGTGTGATCATTGATTTGAGATGTTAAAACTCTGAGTTTTTTTCCTATCTGTAACAAGTGTTCAGGTATTGACCGAGGCTAACCAGATATTGAATACTCAAGTCAATCAGAAAACACAGGCTTTAAATACCAAGGATGGCATAATACAGGTCAGCAGAATAGTCAATTTGGGGAAACTGGATTGTATATTTAGTGTGCTGCTATACTTGACATAATATTGCTCAACAATAATGATGCAGGTCCTTCAAGATGAAGTGGCAACTCTTCAGTTGGAATTAGTGAAGACTGGAGAGCGCATGAAAGATCTGGAAAAGGAAAATAAACAGCTACTTCAAAGGTGGCTTAAGAAAAAAAATGAAGAAGCTGAAAAGATGAACGAAGCAAATCTGTTTTATGAAAGGTACGATCGACTTGGATCGTACAGCACAAATAGTTTTGCTATATTGCCCGCTTTAAAATCCATCCTATAATTTTTCATTCATATTCTGCATCCTCACTTCCTTCATTATTTCATAGTACGATGGAATTGAGACAGAAAACTCTTGAATTACAGTCTGGTGTTGTCATCGTTGAAAAGGAAGCTACGTCTCCTACAGCAAGAGCCGCCACTATGCCAGAGACATCTTCAGGACTTTTAAGGCATGAACTAATACTTTCTTGTGTGGATAGATAGTTGTATCTCAACACTAATTTAAGCTAATAGTATGAGTGAAGTTAATATACGATTGAACACGTGTTGAATTATTGTATTGCTACTATTATGCACAATATTAATTTTTTTTTTCTTTGCTTATAGTACTCGTTCGGGCTCCAAGACGCTTGTGACAGCCACCATTCCAACAGCTACTCTCCGCAAATTTGTAATAGTTATTTCTCACTCCGCCTCTCAATTGCTTTCATTTACATCAAACACTTGAGTAATCGTCGTAATTGACAGATGTCACATGACGGTGAAATACTCTCTATTCAAACGTCAACTGACGGTAACATGTTTGCTACTGGAAGCAGTGATAAGACCATACGGATATACGATTCTAGAGGTTTGTATAGCATGCATGCCAAATTTGTTAATCACAAGAACAAGTATGGGAATTGCTGCTAAGATAGAGAAGTACTTGTTTTATGTTATGTGAATACGGCTAAATTGACTTGCATGTTTGTCAACGTACTAGGAAACCCTCGTCCTCCATTATCCGGATCGTTGCAGTCCGTAATGCATGTCTGTTTCAATAGTACAAATGAAATGATAGCGGGCGCAAGCAATGATAACGCTACACGACTGTGGCATATAGCAACAGGACGGATTAGAGTACGTAATATATAACCAGAATGTTATACTTGTATTATCATCATGGCTTATACGCTTTTCGTTGATTTCTAGCATACGTTGACTGGACATATTGGAAAAGTATACTCTGCACGATTCAACGGTGATTCGTCGCGAGTGGTAATTATACTGTGACGAATGGTTAAAATTATTTATTCGCGCTTGCGGTACTATGTTAACTATTTTTTACATATTTAGATTACAGGAAGTCACGACAGGACAATTAAAGTATGGGATCTACAAAAAGGCTATTGTAAGTTGCCATTAACTGTACGCTTTCGCTAATGAAATCATTGCCCGATGCTTACTTAATTGAATGTTTGTAGGCATACGAACGATATTCTCATTCTCAAGTTGCAACGATGTTGTACTTCTTGACGACGACGGGTACGTATTTGTAAATATCATACGAGAATGTTGGATAAAACTCGACTTATACGTGAGTACAATGGTTTCCATTCGCAAGAGTTACCTTAGCGTCCGGTCATCTTGACAACAATCTTCGTTTCTGGGATGTGAGATCTGGAAAAGATATCAAAGAGATGACAGGCATACATCTGGGACAAATTACGTCCGTCTCGGTTTCACCAGGTATTATATGGACAATTTACTTGTTATTTGCAAGATCGTACACAATACTAAATGTATATATATTTTTTTTAATTATAGATGGATCGAAAGTACTAACCAGTTCGCGTGATAATACACTGAAAATAGTCGATTTGAGATCGTATGAAGTAGTTCAGACACTACAGTAAGTCGTCTAGAACGTTAATAATGGAGCGTGATATGAACAAGGTCGTTGAACTCTTCTTATTTAATAAAACAGTGCCGAAGGATACAAAAATGGTGCAAACTGGTCTCGAGCATGTTTCAGGTAAGAAAAGTGGACGGCAAAGGTAACACGTTATGCTTTAGGAATATCGACCGTTATATATTGACTGATCTCCTTTATTCCCGTTGTCCTTCTACTCAGTCCTGACGGTCAATTTGTCGCTGCTGGATCGATAGGTAATCAACAATAATAATTACTGCAGTTTTCTAACAATGTATCTGCCGAGTCTAACTAATCGCTATGTTGTCTCATAGATGGGACGATATATTATTGGAACACGACCAAGTCGAAACTTGAAAAAACAGCAAAGGAGCACAAGTAATGCATTCACATGATACTTATATTATTGAATGTAACTCGCACTACCTATATTAATTTGTTTCTCATGATTTTTAGTGCTGCAATATGTGGTGTGTCCTGGAGTCCTCAAGGCACGCATATATTTAGTGCAGATAAAGAGCGGACCGTATGTATATGGGGAAATTCGTGGAAGGCATAATGTTTAGAAAGTTATTTATTGAATAGACTTGAAAATCTGTTGGGTTTGTGTATTCTCAATGAATGGATTGTAGCGGGGTGAACTGTGAAATATTACCAAATATAGAAGCGCTAGTGAGAATGCTGGTAGACAATTTTAGGAAGAATTACTAAGAGAAACAATAGACTGGCTATGTTAAAACGATTGCACTGTAGAAACGATAATATTAAGTAATACGGAAAAATCTGTTTTATATTATATCGCGTCTTTATCTTATTATGGTCAGAGGAAATATCTGATAATGCAGGATTTGAAAATGTTGAGTAAAACGTAAGCTATGCTATGGCTTATTAAATATTTTGAACAATTGGGCGGCGTATGACGCGATTATTAGTTATTACGCAGTGAACTTGGTATAACAAAGTTCCGTTCTGTCCTTTTTCTTTGTTTTTTTCTTTATTACAAAGTTCCGTATACCGTCGCGTCGTTATTTGTTATTATGTATTGCCGCAAATAGATTAGAAGCAAATTATATGCAACATTACACACTCGTTAAACGTTTGAATAGGATTGGTCAAACTCGTATGCCAATTATACCAAATGGGAAAGATAATCGAAGTTACGTGCGTAAAATAGACAATCAGGGTTTTCCTAACTAACTTATGTTATATCCGGGTTCACTTGTGCCTCATTAAGCTCATGTTATCCTTTTATTGATTGTATGCATTGTATATCTCAAGTTCCTTCACATAGCCGGTAGTTTGCGAGAAACGTGCCGTCTGTGAATTTCCCAAACATGTTCCTTGCTATTTTAATTTAAAGGCACGACTCCGTGGAGCTTAACTTGGAGTGCTAGAGAATGTTTTATTTGTATTACGATTGTCCTTTAGAACGGGTTCAGTGTTAACTGCTACAGATTAAGCCAGATGCTAATGCAGATTCGCAAAAATGTATCATGAACTGTTATTTTAGGCAACGTCATATTGCTCCGCCAGGATGGCTTGTTTAGGTCTTCGCCTTATGCAACGTATTAGTATACCTTTCTTCTGAAACGTTGCCAGCGAATCTTATGGATCTTATTTGCTTCATCGCGTCTCATTACTGTATAGTAAATTTTCCCCTTCATCACTTGAGGACGCACGATTTTAGTCAATTACATCATTTCATTCGTCGTCTATAATTATCTTTTTCCGAATTAATATTTCGCACTAACCCTTAATTACCTTTCTGGTAAGATTTTTGGAAATTTATGCGGACCAATTTTATATACTCTTATCGTACCTTCTCCCTCGGAGCATCTATTTATAAGAGATGAACAGAAGTGCTACGGTATTTTATTCTATCGACAAGCTTCAAAATAAAAAAAAATTAATTATAATTTCTCTCTTGGTGAAAGTAATAAAAATAAAGTATAATCCAAAGCATAGTCAAAAGGATGAAATAACAGTATACTGTACTGTAATAATGATAATCGAACACATTGATTGCGATCGCTATCATAATGATAATTTTTCAAGGTTTACCTTTTTTTTTCTTTAATCCTTTCTGCTTTTCAAAAAAAACAACAATCAATAGTAAAAAATCAAGCTAGTCTCAATTATCTAATACTAAATGTGTTATCAACAAACAATTAATAAACCGTTAACAGACTAGTCTTATTTGCAATATGAACTGTACTATCGCTATATTATGGAAATATCTGAAATCAGCATTAAGGTTATAAAATACGTCACAAACATTTTCCATGACGCCACCTAAATCTCGACTGATTGAACGTCATATACACCCCTTGGCAAAAGTATAATACAGTGCAAGATTTTACTAATAAACATATAAATATCGAAATTTTCAAATCGCTGACGTTCCACATTTCTCGAACAAGCACCAATAAGATTTATATCATTTTAAAGCCAGATAACTGTAGTTTTAGGTGAGAGATATTAGCAATTTTCACAAGCTTAATTAATATCAAATAGTATTTATACTTTTTGTTGAGTATAGACAGCAATTGGTAATCTTAAATTTGCTACTATCTCTCAATAAAACTACAGTTATTTTAGCTTTAAAATTATATAAATTTTATTGGTACTTTTTCGAGAAGAGTGAAGAGTTAGCGATTTGAAAATTTCGATGTTTTACTAGTAAATCTTATATTTTTGACAGGGTGGTGTACAGTAAACATAAATAAACATAAAATCATACACCGCCGCTTCCTTTGCAAATCAATGAAACCATTTCTTCGAAATTCACAACCGATTGACGTAACTCAACTTAATGTATCACATAATTACTAAACGTAAAACTAAACCTATTAGTCGCTCCCACTCCAAAATCACAACAATAAAGCCAAACTCAACTAATACATTACAGAACAAAATGCTACGACGTCTTATTCTTTAAATCGCACTCATAACATACGTAAAGATGAACTAACTGATACATCACATTAACACTATGTTAATTATAAAAAGATTTGAACGCACCACTGGTACATGTCAGCCAACGCTTTATATTACGCTCAATCGTTACCATGTTCATTCAGGCATTTGTGCGATGTAACACAAGTGTTGAAAAACGAACATTTGTTTCAACTTGAATTCTTAAAGTCAATCTATTACCATGTCGTTAGCATCAGGCACCGTTATTAATCCAGCCATTGCCAACTTGGTTGAATCCTCCTTGGAAAGCGAAAATGAATACTTAAGATTGAAATGGATACCTTACAAGGAAATCACCAACGCAAAGCCGACTCAAATTGACAACGTTTACTTCGCTATTCGCAAACGCAAACATTATAATGATGAAACGATAACGCTAGTATTACTTGGAAGTAGTGAAGAATGCACAGCAACACTTGTGAGTGAGTTTGCTAGAATATACTCACTCCCAACACACAAGTACAATAACAATGACAATAAGTTTAGACGTTATTCCAGATGGCTTACTCGTCGCAACGAACTCATAAAGGGGTTTATCAAGTCTAATGACGATAACTATTACATGGTTGCTTATAGACGCTTTTACCATCGTTATTCTCTTTATGGCTTCTGCTCCACATGTGGAATACTCCGATGTAGTCCCGTGTGGTGCATTTGTGGTTATAAA